ATGGTGTAGGAGTTTTTTACTTTTCAGATAGATGTTGTAGTTTCGAATTAAATTTTAGTTAGTTTTTCATGCTTGTGTTTATATAATAACAAAAGTTCTTAGTTTGTTTACAAAGTTATTCGAAACAGTAAAGGTTTGTTGCATTATCAGTTAGATCAGTGGTTCTCGACCTTCCTAATACCGTGACCCCTTATTATAGTTTCTCATGTTATGATGACCCCCAATCATAACATTATTTTCGTTGCTACTTCATAACTGTAATTTTGCTACTGTTATGAATCGTGATGTAAATATCTCATATGCAGGATGTATTTCCATTCACTGGACCAAATTTGGCACAAATATCCAATACACCCAAATTTGAATATTGGTGGGGTTAGGAGGATTGGTTTTGTCATTTGGGAGTTGTAGTTGCTAGGATTTATAGTTAACCTACAACCCAAGAGCATTCTGAACTCCACCAATGATGGAATTGAACCAAACTTGGCACACAGACCAACAGAAAATACTGGAAGGGTTTGGTGGGCATTGCCCTTGAGTTATGGAATTATAGTTCATCTACATGCAGAGAGTGTTGTGGACTCAAACAATGGTGGATCTGGACCAAACTTGGCATGAATACTCAATATGCCCAAATGTGAACACTGGCGGAGTTTGGGAGGAAATAGACCTTGACATTTGGGAGTTTTAGTTGCTGGGATTTATAGTTCACCTACCATCAAAGAACATTCTGAACCCCACCTGTGACAAAATTGGGCCAAACTTCCCACACGGAACCCCTATGACCAACAGAAAATACTGTGTTTTCTGATGGTCTTTGGCGACCCCTCTGACACCCCCCCCCCTTGTGATCCCCCCCCCAGGGTCCCAACCCCCAGCTTGAGAAATACTGAGATGAATACCACCTAATGAATTTAGACAGAGTGTCTGATTTCCTTAGTAAAGCACTGAACTCATGATTATTGAAACATCAATGTCCCGAAGAATTAGAAAGCCAGTTATTTTTTTATAAACAAATTGTAAATTATCGAGCATCTTTTTATCAAATAGCAAGTGAGGGCAGAAATAGTAGCTCGAAAAATTGCAGATATATATTGATCAAAGATAAATTACAGCACTATTATTTCCCAGCACTACGGTTTTGGCAACCAAATTCTAAAAATTTACAATTTTGGCATTGGCACAAATTTTTCTTTCTCTAAATAGAAGCTAGTGGAGATTATCCAAATTGGAGCAGAACAAGGGACTTTTTTATTGCTGCCACAGTTCAGCTATTAGTCCAGATTTACTAGTGAGAGTTTTTCTCCTAGGACAAACAGCAATATTTTAAAATTACATTCCATTTATATTCCATGTTTTTACCAACACAGAATTAAAGATAGCTTTGTTGTGTCTTCAAGTCATTTCAGGCTTATGGTGACCCTGAGATGAGTCTGTCCTGGGGTTTCTTGGCAAGATTTGTTCAGAGGAGGTTTGCCATTGCTTTCCTGAGAGCCTGCGAGTATGACTTCCCAAGGTCTGTCACCGGGCTTCCATAACTCCACAGAGATTCAGACCCTGGTGTCCAGAGTTACAGTGTAATGCTACACCAATCTGGCTTTTCAGGAATGCTTACAACCATTTAAAATGGGGGGGGGGGGGGGGGGGGAGGACCACAATTCTTTTTTAAGCTTCAAACATTGTTTTTTAAAATGTTTTAAAAACAGAATAAAATACAGACATAAGTCATACAATTAAAACCTCCATCTGCTGTAGCAGGGCTGCCTAAATAAAAAGATGACAAGTTGGTAATCAGCCAAAACTTACATGAAAAGGAGTCCCACAACTTGGGATCAACTGGTGAGACGGCTTGAATAGCCACTGCAGGGGGTTAGTTTGGATTTGAATCATAGTGGATACAAAAGGGTAAAAGCTGGTAGTCCCAGTATGGCTCACACTCCCCTTCAGTTTTGTCCTTAAATGGGGCTTCAAGTAGTTTAATATTACATGCTTATTAGTGAACCAGATACAATGTTTGTGTATATATTAAATCAGTTATTATTGGGGGATTTTTTCCTGTGTCACATATTGGTTGTTTTTTCCTGTGTCACATATGCCACATATTCCAATGTTCTGTTTTCCATATGGGAGGCTACCTGAGTTTCTGTGATACTTTGTAATATCTACTCAGTAGTGTCTAAATGAGACAACTACTGACTGCAGTGTACTTGGTATTATATCTACTAGCTCTCTCCGGCAGTCCCACACACGGCCTATGGATGGCTTCTGTATTTTCAGGACTAGGACTGGGAATATTTTGATTCTTATATGTAGACTTTACATACAAAATACTTTTAAGCTTGTTACCTAAGCCTGGAAAAGACTGCCATCAGCTCTATGTATGACATTGCAGCAAGGTAAGTATAAAAATATTAGAAGAAATCTAAAAGGTGGCAACAATAATATTTGTTTATATCCTGTATTCTTTCTGAGATGTGTGCCTGATGATGCAATTATATTTAAGCTCAAAATAATCTGTTTTTTACTCATTAATTTCCTGAATACAAATTAAATGTAAACTCCAGAGATACTAAGTACTAACGGACTTCTACTCTCTTCCATCATTCCACCTGTATATTAAGAGGGATAGCTTCATGGTATAAACTATCTGACAGTGGAATAAACTATTCCAGAAGGTGGTGGACTGTCTTTCATTGGTTAAATGTCTATATTTTGATGGTGCTTTATGTAATGGATTTCTGCATGCCAGGGGACTGTACTAAATAACCTTTGCAGTAACTTTATGTAGAAAAATGTAGTATTCAAATGACAGTCTTGGAAAAATTGTTCTGAGGTTTAGAAGATTTATCTTACATAGTCCACATGCTGCATCAAAGTACACTATTCTGGAACCTATCGGGGTTTTTTCCCCATACTATCAAAGTTGGTAGAAAGGTTTCCAGGCCATGGCTGCTTCTTGAGTAGTAGCAATGTTGGACCTAGATGTAATCCTAAAATAGGAGCTTGCTTTTTAAGAGGGAAGTGTGACTGTGACAAGAAATAGATGTTTCCCTGTTCATGAACTAATGGACTGGGTCATCTTCCAAAATTAACTCTATGACATGACAAATTCATTTGCATTTTGTCCACTTGTGATCTCATAACACTGCCAGATCTGAATCTGGTAAACACGGTAGTAGCAGCAGAATCATATTATAAATTCATAACTCCAGTTGAGAGGTAGCAGTCTTGAGGGACGTACAAGATAGTTGTTGTGGGAAGCAATGTCAGTTTCTAAGCATCACTACAAGATTATGCTCTCAATCTGGAAACAGAGTAAGTAGTCACTGAAAGGTCCAAGAGAATTAGAAGCACCACGCTGCCTTTTTGTCTTGCCTTTGGGCATTCATTAGTGTAAACAAGGAAGTTTTTGCCCCAACCACAGCTAGAAACCAGGCCGAAATTAATCCAGACAATTGGCTTAATCCAAGAGTTGTGTATCCTGGCCCATCTGACCACATTGCTTGACAAGGGGAAATAAAGATAGTAGCTTTTATAGTGCCAAAACTTTGAAAATGCTTTCTTCAGAAGGGGAATTGCAACCAACACTTTCAAAACAACTAGAGTTTGCCTTTCCCAGAAATATGCTACTCAGTTTCCCCAGTTAGACAGAAAGGTGGATCATGACATATATTTCTCTTAAGTCTTTGTCTATACTCTTGAGCAATGCCAACTGGGGACCATCAAAGCAATCATGGATGCTCCTGTAGTAGTAACAAAACTCATGAAATTCTAGCCCATAACCTCATTGATCGAGCTTGATCAATACCCAGTCTACTGGAATGCATTTTAATGTTTGACATCTTATGATAGTTTTCCCATGTTTCATTGTTTGTATCCAAAACTTCAAAGTTTGTACCTCCCGAGGTTGTTATAGCAGTCTTCAGTCGCTCTAGACCAGTGGTTCTCAGTCTGGGCATTTTAAGCCTTTTGGATAATCTCTGGCTGCTAGAGACTTGGAGGTGGGGGGGTCTATTTGTTGGCCTGCTCAAATTGTTTATAGTCGTTAACACCCTACAGCAATCAGGTACACTTGTGTGTGTTGTGCATGTATGTGCCTTCAAGTCACATGTCAACTTATAACAGAGGAGCCCCCGGTGGCGCAGTGGGTTAAACCCTTGTGCCGGCAGGACTGAAGACCGACAGGTCGTAGGTTCGAATCCGGGGAGAGCGTGGATGAGCTCCCTCTGTCAGCTTCCAATTGCGGGGACATGAGAGAAGCCTCCCACAAAGGATGGTAAAACATCAAAACATCCTGGCATCCCCTGGGCAACATCCTTGTAGACGGCCAATTCTCTCACACCAGAAGCAACCTGCAGTTTCTCAAGTTGCTCCTGACACGACAAAAAAAACTTATAACAACCTCATGAATTTCATAAGGAGTTTTTTCAAGCAAGGAGTACTCAGGTGGTTTTGCCAGTTCCTTTCTGTGAAATATAGCATCATATACAACTCCTGGGTGTTTATTGAGAGTCTATTATCCAAGTGTTTATCATGGCTGATCTTGATTAACTTCCAAACAAGATGGGATCCAGTGCCTTTTAGAGTATTTAGGTTTATTTATTTGTCGTGCCAGGACAAGAGTATTTAGGTGTCTCTTAGGGATACTTTGGCCAACAGAATTAATTAGGTTCAAGTATATCTAACTTATTCTGGATTGTGATCATTGTAATACATAGAATGTTTTTTTTTTAAATTGTGAGTTTTAATTACTTAGCCATATTGGAGAGTGTAAATTCTTAATGAAAGCAATTGATTCATAAATTATCAAACATTTTAACACTTAGCCAGACACAGAGTTGCTCCCAAAATGTTATGATTAAAAAGGGGAACTTATGAATTGTGAAGTTTTAGTTATGTAAAAGCAAACAAGTACCAATAGAGTAATTATTTTCTTTGGGTATTGACTTTGTACAACAAGAATTATTTGAAGCTGGAGTGTTTGTGTTATGCATTTTCAGTCCACTCTTTGTGACATGGAAGACAGGGCGAGACAAGAGACTTCGGGGCTGCATTGGAACTTTCTCTGCCATGAACCTTCACTCAGGACTCAGGGAATACACATTAACCAGGTAAAAATATCAGTGAGACTACATGTCTAACAGGAAACTAGGCATGTGATGTTTCAAATTGTGATATGTCTTACCTTTGTCTTCCTGTATATTCTTCTGATCTGTAGAAAGAAGGAAGGGAGGGGAGAAAAACAGAGAATGTGGCAGCAATATTAAGACTAACTTTTGCTTATGTTATTTTGAGTTTTCATTGATATAAACCCACTTCTTCATGTGCAATACAATTATTGATCTATGAAGCCATCAATAACTAAGACACCACTTCTCGTCCCATTGGCTAAGATCAAGTGTGCGTGGTAAACAAGACAAGATATATTTAGGAGATTACAGCAAAGTATTCTGTATTTATCCTCTGCATGTATAAAATTGTGATACTTTAGAGTAGGCTGCACAAGCTGTGGCCCTCAAGCAGTTTGTTCTCCAACTCCCAGAAACCCTAGCCAGCTTGTTCAGTAGCCAGGAATTCAACAGGAGGACCACAGCTTGTGCAGGTCTATTCTAGAGGTGTATAGCAAATATTGTAATGCAATCTTGTTTAATTACCACGAAAAGCAGAAATCTTATTCCATTGCTCACACTTTGGCATATTAGGTGTTCTGTTTAGATTTTGTTTCACTTCTAATACCTGTAGAACAAAGCAAGACTTCACAACCTGAGACCCTCCAGGTGTTTGAACCTCCAACTCCCAGAAGCACCAACTAGCTTGTCCAATGGCCAGGAATTCTGGGAGCTGAAGTCCAAAACACCCAGAGGGTCACAAATTGTGCAGGTCTGTTCTAAACTTATACCACTGTCCTCAGCCTTGAGACTAATCAATGTTGTGAATATAAACAAGTATAACTATTAAACAATATAGACCTTGTTTCAGTTTGTATATATGGTCTGTTCCCATTCTAGTGCACTTAAGGACAGCAGATTTCCACCCCTGACCCGTGAGGAGTTGCCTAAACTTTTCTGTTCTGTCTCCCTTCTCACTAATTTTGAGGATGCCTCTGACTACTTGGACTGGGAGGTGAGAATGCCTTTCAAGTATACAATATTATCTCATAGTATTTTAATGTGAATTAACATCTAACAATGTGTCTATTTTATCATAGGAATAGATTGTGATAACAGATCTAGAAAATTAGGTTGGAAATAAATACCATGAAGAGACCAAATAAGTAGAATATTTTATTATTTTTTATCACATCCTTTCCCCAATAGTGGGAATTTTAATAAGAGGTAAAACTTATTTAAAATAGTACATTTTTAAAACTTTATTAAAACATCATTAAAAAGTATACCTGTGAACATTGTTTTTAAAATAAACATTTTTAAAAGTTACAATTATTAAAATAATTAAAAGATTGAATGCAAACCAAGAAAACAATACAAGACACCATATTAGACAGTAGCATTTTGGTTATAATTGACAACAACTATAGAAATCCATTACTAGCTTCAGGTTGAAATGTTTTGTCCCCCTAGGGGAGTAAAATCTATTGAACACAAGAGTACTTACTTCTGAGTAATATCCAGAGAACTGTGACATATGAGAAGAGACATGTCTTAAATCTTGAGAAAGTCTGGCATACTGAAACTATAGTTGATTGTGTATGCTTGAGGAAGCTGCTTCCATGGCCAGGAAATAATGGGCAATATATGACGGCATTACCCTAGAAAATTCCCAGAATAATGTAAACATCATTAGGAAAATATTAGATTCATTAGAAAAGACAATGTTGGATAGTAAAAGCCAATAGAAAAAGGTGAAAACAGCATTAGAGGTAGATAGATTGAATCAAGGAAGCCACTGCAAGAGCTGAAAAGGTCATTTGGTAACAGAATTACTAGGAGGTATCTTGTTCATAGGTCATCATAAGTTGAAGTTAGCTTAACAGCAGATAAAAACAATTACAAATACAGGAAATTGCGGTCAGACAAAGGCCTTTATCTGAGCATACTTGACATCCAGATAGGGTGCATTATGATAGAAATATTCTGTATATTGTGCTAAAAGTACCTCTCACCTGCTTTATATTATGTTAGGTGGGAATCCATGGAATCAGAATCGAGTTCATCAATGAGAAAGGTGTCAAACGCACAGCAACATATTTACCTGAAGTTGCTAAGGAACAAGGTGGGTTTGAAAACATTTGACATTACTGAGCCTAAATCAAAAGGTAAGGATTTTGGACTAATTATTTACTTGCATAGGTGCTGTGAATGCCACCTAACCCTGTGATCACATAAACTCAATTCCTTAGAAATCTACCCTTCAGAAGGTTCAAAATGTAGACTGTTTGTTTCATATTTAATGTGTGTTTTTCCCTAAAACTGGTCATAGAACCATAGAGTTGGAAGAGACATTGTGGGCCATCCAGTCCAACCCCCTGCCAAGAAGCAGGAAAATCACATTCAAAGCACCCCCGAGAGATGGCCACCCAGCCTCTGTTTAAAAGCCTCCGGAGCCTACACCACACTCTGGGGCAGAGAATTCCACTGCTGAACAGCTCTCACAGTTAGGAAGTTCTTCCTAATATTCAGATGGAATCTCCTTTCCTGTAGTTTGAAGCCATTGTTCTGTGTCTCTCTTCATAATTGTTTTGGTCTTTGCTCTTCTTCCTTCTTTCTCTCAGTCACTGAGTTTAAAAAAAACCCCTAAAAACATAATCCTCTGGTGTTCTTCAACATTGTCATTATATGGTTTTTCTCTTCAGCCTCACTACACTGGCACAACATCAGGTGATCCTTCCATTCTCCCTCAGGACTAAGTTACCTGCTTCTAATATGGACAACACCTGAAAAATAGAGCATTTGCCACTACTATAATTATATTATACATTTTCCACCTTTCAGAGGGTCTTTTTTCTACTCTTGGAATTTAGTCAAAAGACCAAAGAATAATTTGTTAAAGTAGACCCAATGCATTACAATTTATTAAGAAACTTAGTGGATTTAATTTTCACTTAATATGTAGTTGTCTTACATAGAACATACTTGATGCTTGTATATAACTACTGTAGGGCAGACTTACGCAATATTGAAAGTCATTACATTTTATAAGACTTATATGACTATCATATTTCACTAAACATATATGAAAAATGCAGATCATTTAATACTTTGGTCTAATAATCTGTTGAGATTTCTTTGTTAGCAACAATCCAGTAATTTGTAATTGTTCTTTTTTCTTGTAATAAATCTTATGTCTGTATCGCCATTTATTTTTTAACAGATTGGGATCAGATTCAAACAATAGACTCCTTGCTCAGGAAAGGTGGTTTTAAGGCTCCAATTACCAATGACTTTAGGAAAACTATTAAACTCACCAGGTAAGCTATTTTGTGTATTTACTGTTGTTAAAGTGTTTTTGTATTAAAATAATTATTATTTGCATTGCTAATAATTGTAGCAATATTATTGCCAATATCGCTACAATTTCAGTTGTAGGTTCTCCTTTCTCCCTTTTTAAAAGATCTGTTGATTTTGTGCTCAGGTTCTGTTGTTTCCACCAGAGAGTAGAATATACTAGTTTATAATAAGTTGGTTTAAATCAATAGTTTAAAATCAGCAGCAAGAAAAAGGCTCATTAAATCAAGTTTCTGTTGGCATTTCTTCATATGCTTCCCACACAAAGGTGTCAATGTGACCCCTAAGCCATTCTAATTTGCAGCTAGACAGAATATTCCTTATACTGTTGTTCCATCTTTCAACTTTTATCAAATTTCACACTTTCCCTTTTTATCTAAAGAAATGTTTTTAAACTGTAGCCTCTTTCTTATAAGCTGTACTTGTGACAATTAATGAGTTTTGATCTGTGTTATTTAATATGTTTACCATGTGGTATGTTTGGTTGAAAACAGTACCTTTAGAGTTTAAAATATTGCATAATAATTATGGGAATATAAAAATGGTAGGCGATAATGAGAAAATGGTACAGCAGTTTTCCCATCCCACCCTATCTACACCAAATATCTGTGACTGCCCATTTTTGCCAGCCTTGTGTTTTGCTCAAAAGAAGAAGACTGTAAGCTTCACATATGTTAGCTCAGAAATGCATATTTTGTTCCAAAACCAAGAGTTTGGTGAATATTTGTTTTTAAGAACCAACCATATATTAATGGTAGCCAATAGTATGGAATCTGTTCAGGCAGAATTGCTATGGTGGGGATGGGTGGTAGGGAAAAAAGGCTGAGCTGATGTTGAAGCTGTGAAGAGGAGACATGATAGCCATCTAGACATATTTGAAAGGATGTCATAAGAAAGAGGGAGCAGGCTTGTTTTCTGCTGCCCTGGAAACTAGGACTCAGAGCAATGGGTTCAAATTACAGGAAAGGAAATTTCTCCTAAACATTAAGAAGAACTACCTGACCTTGAGATCTGTTTTAACAGTAGAACTCTCTGCCTCAGAGTGTGGTGGAATCCTTTGGATGCTTTTAAACAGCCTCGCTAGCCATCTGTCAGAGGTGCTTTCATTATGCTTTTCTTGCATGGCTGGGGGTTGGACTGAATGGCCCATGTGGTCTCTTCCAACTCTATGATTCTAAGTCTACATTGTAAGACTGAGTCTAGGATGTTAGACTTGAGTGTCACACAGGTTTTAGTGTTGGAACAGACAGATAGTACCAGACTCTGCCTAATTCTTTAGAAATGTAATTTGATAGTTTTGATAGAAATTGATATGGGTGACTGCATCAATAAATATTTGTATTAACAATCTCAATACAGTGGGTTGCTGTGAGTTTATCCAGGCCATATGGCCGTGTTCCAGAAGCATTTTTTCATGACATTTTGCCCACATCCTCAGAGGTTTTGAGGATGGCAGAAGTTGTGAGGCAACCTCTGAGTATGCTTGCCATTGATGTGGGTGAAATGTCAGGAGAGAATGCTTCTGGAACATGGCCACATAGCCCAGAAAACTCAAAGCAATCCAGTTTCCGGCCACAAAAGCCTTTGACAACACAATCTGAATACAGGCGTGAGTGATTGAATGAGGGTTTTTTCCCCCTCAATAAATATGTACCTTAAAGGCCTCCTGTTGTTTTTTTTCCTCCAGATATCGCAGTGAGAAGGTGACAATCAGTTATGCAGAATACATGGCTTCTCGTCAGCATTGTTTCCAGAATGGCACTCTCCATGCCCCACCTCTCTACAATCATTACTCCTGACACAAGACTGCATGACCAGTCCCGTCCCCCAGCTGCCACTAACAGCTATGACATCATTGGGGCAGATGCTTCCTCTTCCTGGTCCAGTTACTTCTATTACTGCACCATTTTATGATGCTAGCTTCCGTTGCCGAGTCTGCCTTCCAGCTGACTGAGGGGTGGGGGCTACCAGTTGAGTGCGACTGAACATCAGGGCCGAAGCCTTATCTCATCCTTCCTTCAGAAAGGGGATTGAAGCTCCAGGGTGAACAGTTGCAGTTGGGTAGAGAGAACTTGAGGAATGGCAGTACCACTTCAGATGGCTCTATCTCTCTTAAATTGCACCGTGTTCATTTGAATGGCTAATTACGATAGCCCCCTTGATCAAATAGGAGAGTTCTCCTGGCAGTCTGGGCAACGGAGTCCAACAAATCTTTTTAGGTTATTTTAATTTTTTTTAACCTCTGATATTTATCTACCTGATTTGTGACCTGATTTGTCCTAACACACCCCAGGCAAGCAGATGATATGACTTTTTGCAAGGATAATATGCCTACAGAGATCCCTTCTCTTCTTCCTCCTCACATAAGATGGCAGTCATTCAGAGATTTGAAACTGAAAACAAAATTGTTCTGCAGATAAAACCATTGCTTGCATATATCCAGGAATTTCAGTTCTTACATCTAGCAACAGAAGGAGAATAATACATTCATAATAGAGAAGTACTATGGGTTGTGTATAGATGTAGATTAGGTTTCCTTATCTCCTGAAAGTATAATTTCCCTCTTCTTTGCCGTTCTTCTGGGTGTCTAACTTCAAGCAGCAGAGTCTGCATTGGATTGGAACAAATCTTTCTCAGAAAGCCATCTTTATAGTAATAAAAAGGGTATAAAATTGTTTATAGGAAATACTCTATGCAGTTTCCACAACAATTTTTTTCCAGCTTGACCCTAATATCCAGGTAATGAAACACACACTAAGTGTTAGCCTTTATGTGGTTACCTAATATAGGCATCACTGTGGCATTGGTGCTTCAGCCACCCTCAATATATATAATTGGATGTAAGTTAAATTATTGAAATTGCTTCACAATAAGTGTACTTAGACTTCAAACATATGGGATGTTTTTACCCACACAAAAAGGTTGAGTCCTGTTTGACTCCTGTGGATTTTAAAAAAATCTTTTCCTATTGTTACTGAATAATACGTAGCAACCTTTTTTTCATTTTTCCATCCTATTTCACCCGTGTGAGTCATGCAGTAATATTATGAAAGCAAGCATTATGCTCCTTAGGTGAATCCACAGGAATTGTAAGATAGCAGCGCATGAGTTCTGAAAATTGGGGTAAGCAGCTTGATAGGCAGAAAAAAATGACAATAAAAAATCCCATTGAAGAGCACAGTGTAATGAGAGTGTGATAGCAATGTGTGAAACCACAATGACTTTCATAGGTGGCTCAGGAAAAGACAGAAATTATCTGGGAATTTTCTCTACTCAAAGATGTAAATTTCCCTATCTTTAGGATGAATAAATATTGCCCTAGTGGGAGGAAGCAGGAAATTCCTTCTGTTTTGAAGCAAAGCCAGGAAGTCAACCAGAACAGATGCTATGTGAAGAGAGGCATACTGCATAATTAGACATGAATTGCCCATATATACTGGAAAGCAGTACTTGACAGTATGTGACTTGGTTGCACTAGGACAGGCTGCTGGCTGGAAGAGGGCAAATGTCTTACCTTCTTTGCAACAGGATTATTCGGTGTCTAGGATGTCTTCAGATTCCATATTTTTCTACCACTCCTATTTCTTGTCTTGTCTCCAAAGAAATCATAACCTTTACAGTTTTGCTTGTCAATGAACACACGTCTAGATTGGTGGCGAGAGCCAGGGAGAGGAGCTCATGTTCCAGATAACCGCAGCACCACCTAAATGTTTGGTTTTGTACTGGATTGCTCATATAGATTGTTTTCCCTTCATGATGATGATGAAACGTGTTTGGATGTGAAGGGACTGTTCCATGTTTCCTGCTACTGATAATAAATAAGCCTTCTTACACATTAGAGTGATTTGTAGTTACTGTTCCAGGTGCCCTGGTCGTATGGAAGATTGTAGAAGGAAGAAGAGTTCAGCTCTGGTCATGCCATCCATCTCTGCTCTCAGTACTGAAACATAGGGCTACACTAATTACTATTCAAGTGTTCTATGTTAGAATTTAAATTGTTAAGATTTTTAAAGCAAAAAGGAAAAAAATGGTGCTAAACTTTCACCCCTGAGCACATTCGGTGAGACTGGTCATGCAGGCATACAGTGCCGGGCTATTCAATCTTGCTTTTTTTTAAAAAAAAATGTTTGCCCTGTTATGTGTCTCCAGCAGTGTATAGTGTTAAGTATTTGATTTCATTTAAGTGTGGGGAGGGAGGGGGAGTTTAGGAACCAGGTGGGGGCCTTAATTGCCATTTTAAAGAACAGACTTTTAGGAATGACATGACCTACTTGGTTTCATAATATCTTTGCACTGAAATAAGTTAAATTGGTTTTGGAGTGAGAAGTGGTCTCATTCCCTGTTCGTTTCCATCAAACTGTATATGGAAATGCCTCCTTTGAAAATTGTGGTGTTTTCTTGTAGTAAGCAGAACAACAAGCAGGCCATGGAACCCAAATAGATCTCTGAGAAATGGGTACATTCAGCTTTGGATGTTTGGGTATATTATAATGAAATAAGTGCTTTTGTTGTGTTATTCCTGCAAAGTGAATGGGGAATGAGGGACATGGTTCTCAGAAGGACAGCTTATGTCTCATGAATAACAGCAGTACATTGAGATGAGTCCAAATTAATAAGCAGCAGAAAGATGCAGAGACCAACAAAATGGCCAAAAGAGAACCATCTAGGATATGTCCACAATACACAGTTAAAGCAGCTTGATTCCACTTCTATTGCCATGGCTCTATTGCATGAAATCCCGGGATTTGTAGTTTGGTAAAGTGTTCCAGACAGAGTTCTCAGTGTTGTAGTTCAGGGGAGGACTAGAGCTCTCTAGTAGAGAATTGTGAGTCCCTTATCAAACTGCATATCCCAGAATCCTACCGGATGGAACCATGGCAGTTAAAGTAATATCAAAGTGCTATAACTGTGCAGTATTACTACTTTATTCTGGAAGCCTAATCAGTTGTAATTTTCACCTGATTAGTTTGATCGTCTAAGGACCTTAGCAATAGCCTTCTGGTCTGACTGGGAATTGGCTCATCCTTAGCTACAAGCAAGTGCCTTTTGGTCTAAGATGGAGTCATTTCAAAACACTCATTGTTGTGAATTTTCCTTGCTGCCGCCATGTATCTTTTAAGCTATTTTTAAAATTCCTCACCCCATCTCCATATTACAGCAGAGAATGTCATTGATTGGTGAAGGTTCAGTGTTTTGAATATTTCCTTTCTGAAGTTTTACTTTCTCATAATGAACAGCTAACTTTAACAGAGATCGTTCAGACAGAAAGATGTTATGGCCTGACTATATCTGATTATTTTGTGGACAAAGTACAGTAGTGTGTGATTCCCCCCCCCCCCATTTTTGCACATAACTTATTTTTCCTGATTCATTCTCACCATTGCAGTCTTCACTGACAAAATGCCATTTCCTGCTTATTTTCCAACGCCAACATCATTAACATTTTGATTAGTTTATTTTTTCTTTGAAAGCAAGGAACTTCTTATCCACCAGTGCAGAGATATCAGACCATTCTTTGTTATTACACTTGGTTGCCTCCTAGCTATATAACCTTTGAGTGTAAATCATTGAACTTTACCCTCTAATGAAGTATTGTAGAAAATAAATTGTAATGGATACAATTTTTATCTTGTCCCTTTTTTATTGGTGTCCGTTTTTTGTCAATATTTACTTTTCACGCCGAAATCCATTATGAATTCCACAATAAATGTTGTAAGGGTTTTTAAAAATAAATAAAATAAATAAATGAGTCAAACAGAAGTCTAAAGTGAGGATTGTGGAAGAATCGGCATGAAGCGGGTGGGAATCCTTCATAAAATTTCTCATTACAAAACATACCTCAAAGGTAATGAGACTAAATCTTGTTAAAAATAAAAGCAAGAACCTTCATATTTGTGTGTGTCTGGTATTATTTTTCCTGACCCATATAGAATACCGGTCATAGGCACTGGACTCAATCAAGATTACCATCTAAGTGACAATAAAGGTTCTGGGAACCTATTAGGTCCATTGTATTTTTCATACCAGAAATACTTAATCCCATCACAAGTCATTTCTTCACCCATTGTTCTGGGATGTGCCAACCCCTCTCTAACCATTGGACAGAGGGAAATCTGCATCAGATCACGGAGAAGCCGGGTCCAGCTGGGGGTGGTGGGAACTTTGAATGCAAAAATGCATTTTTATGGTACAATGTATCTCAGCTTATTTTTTGGCAGATTACCGCATGCTGGCATTACTTCAGCTGACTAATAAAAAGTTTGGTGGCTTTTCCCCAACTTGAAGAGCTTAATTTAGTCAGATTAGGCCTCCTCTCGGGGCAGCCAGGCTCTTTGCCAATCACTGCTTAAAGGACTTGGCTCCCGGTCCCAGATTCCGGCTCTCCGCAGCTCAGATTTCACTATCTGCAGCTGCATCAAATTGCTCCATTTCAATCCCAAATTTTGTGTTTATCCCAGATTATCTGGCATAATCCAGTTTAATGCAGAAAACTGGTATAAAATTCTGGAAGATAGGGTGCCTGTCTGGAAGGGTCCTCAGTTCAAAGCAGATATTGTAGGTTATCTGCCTTCATATTCTGGGTTATATAGCTGTGTGGATGGGCCCTGAGTCTCATTTTCAGAGAGATAAAGGATACAAATAATAGCAACAACTTTTATGCAGTAACTCAAGGTGATGGAATCAAGGAAGCTGCAGTTCAATAAGGTCTGCCCCATGGAGTGCTGGTGCCTCAGCAAACTACAAATCCCACAATTCCATAGCTTTTGAGCCATGAAACTCGGGGACCTTCCAGACAGGCTCTATATCCCAGGATCTGATCCCTGGTTTTGTGTATCACAGATTATATATCAGTGGGGATTCATATAATTCAGTTTAAACCTGGAATAAAGGGCCTGTCTGGAAAGGTCCTAAAAGTGGTGTCAAACTGCATTGTTGTAGATATACCCTTCATCAAACTGTGCTATACCAAAAGTATTAGTACTTACTTACTTATTTACTTACCTAGGCGATCCCTCGTTGGACGAGTAAGATGGTCTTCCTTGATGACTATTTTTGTGGGTTTGTAGGTGGCTGTGGAGCCCTATTCTTAACCCGCATCTTCTCCCACAGTGAAGGCATTGGTTTCCAGGTGGAAGGCGGTCCCGGTCGGGGTTGGCTTGATGCGCCTTCCTCCTGGCACGTTTCTCTCTTTCACCCTCCACTCGTGCCTCCTCGAATTCTACAGCACTGTATTAGTAGACTCCCTTCTGTTAAGTCAGTGGTTCCTAATGTCACGACCCCTTAATGCAGTTCCTCATGTTGTGACCTTCAACCATAACATTATTTTCATTACTACTTCATAACTGTAATTTTGCTACTTTTATGAATTGTAATGTGAATATCTGATATGCAAGTTGTATTTTCATTAACTGGACCAAATTTGGCACAAATACCCAATACGCCCAAATATCAATACTAGTGGGGTTGGGGGGGGGGGGTTGATTTTGTCATTTGGGAGTTGTAGTTGCTGGGATTTATAGTTCACCTACAATCAAGGAGCATTCTGAACTCCACCAACAATGGAATTGAATTGAACTTGGCACGCAGAACTCCCATGACCAACAGAAAATACTGGAAGGGTTTGGTGGGCATTGACCTTGAGTTTTGGAGTTTTAGTTCACCTACATCCAGAGAGCACTGTGGACTCAAACAATTATGGATCTGGACTAAACTTCGCAGGAATATTCAGTATGCCCAAATGTGAACACTGGTGGGCTTGTGGAAATTTATTTTTTAAATTGGAAGTTGTAATTGCTGGGATTGATAGTTCATCTACAATCAAAGAGCATGCTGAACTCCGCCAACAATGGAATTGAACCAAACTTGATACACAGCACCCCCCTGACCAATAGAAAATACTGGAAGAGTTTAGTGGCCATTGACCTTGAGTTTTAGAGTTCACTTACATCCAGAGAGCACTGTGGACTCCAACAATGTTGAATCTGGACCAAACTTGGCACAAATACTCAATATGCTCAAATGTGAACACTGGTGGAGTTTGGGGGAAATAGACATTTGGGAGTTGTAGTTGCTGGGATTTATAGTTCGCCTCCAATCAAAGAGCACTCTGAACCCTACCAATGATAGAATGGGGGCAAACTTCCCACACAGAATCCCCATGAGAAACAGAAAATACTGTGTTTTCTGATGTCTTTGGAGATCCCGCTGACACCCCCTCACGACCCCTCCATGGGCCCTGATCCCCCAGGTTGGAAAACGCTGTGTTGGGGCACCCTGAACACTGAAACAAGGCACTGGGATTCATTCCACATGATGGTGATGGAAGAGCGCGTGTCCTCTCCCGCCCTCAAGGGAGCGCCCGCAGCAGAGGCTCGACTTCCCTTCTCTTCCCTCCTGAGTTTCCGGGCTGTGGAAAGGCACTCAATGGCGGCCGGAGGGTCGGACGTGCGGGCCGTGGACGTGGAGGAAGACGCCTCCCAGCTGGTCTTCCCCAAAGGTGAGCGACTGGCTCCGAGGGAAGGGAAACGCCGTGGGCTTGGGAGGACACGGAAGTTGCTCCAGAGGAGGCAGACCTACGGGATCCTTTCAAAACAACACATGCAGTGTGCATCCAGGCAGTAGAATGAATGCAGTTTGGCCCCACTTGAACTGGCATGGCTCAATCCTGTGGGAGGTGTAGTTTTTTCAAGGTCTTTCGGCTTCCCTGCGCAAGAGTGTTAGCACCACGTCAAACTACAGCTCCCAGGATGCCATAACACTCAGCTATGGCACTTAAAGTGGTGCCAAAGTGCAGTGTAGATCAGGCATGGGCAAACTTGGGCCCTCCAGGTCTTTTGGACTTCAATTCCCATAATTCCTAACAGCCGTGAACTACCTGAAAATGTAGCTGATGTGATCGGGATAACAGTTTTATTAGCCAAAGCCAATAGTCATATTACAATCTGTATAAATAAAAATATAACGTTTGTTTGTGGGATTAACATAACTCAAAACCCATAATAATAATAATAATAATAATAATAATAAACTTTATTTAACATCCCGCCACCATCTCCCCAATGGGGACTCGGGATGGCTTACATGAGGCCAAGCCCAACAGCATATTATAATAAAGTAAACAATAACAACCCAGTAAAATACATACAACATATGAGTACAAAAATGATAAAACAAAAATAATTTGTTTTAAATAACATAACATAACAATGAGCGGGCCGCATGTGCAAGATAAAACTGACTTGGCCACAGTGGTCCATGCTTTGGTTACATCCAGTTTAGATTACTGCAACGTGGGGTTGCCTATGAAGACTGCCCGGAAGCTCCAACTAGTCCAACGTGCGGCAGCCAGAATGCTAACACGAGCAGGGTACAGGGAGCATACTACTCCTCTGTTGCGCCAGCTCCACTGGCTGCCAATTAGCTTCCGAGCACAATTCAAAGTGCTGGTGTTAACCTATAAAGCCCTAAACGACTCCGGCCCAGTTTACCTGTCCGAACGTATTCTCCCCTATGAACCATCTAGGTTGTTAAGATCGTCTGGAGGGGCCCTGCTCTCAGTCCCACCGGCCTCTCAGGCGCGTCTGGTGGGGACGAGGGACAGGGCCTTCTCGGTGGTGGCCCCTCGACTCTGGAACTCTCTCCCACTGGAGATCAGAACTGCCCCCTCCATTCTGTCGTTCAGAAAATGGGTGAAAACCTGGCTATGGGGTTTGGCTTTCGACGAGTGAATCAATATTTCTGTGATCGGATAGATGACGATGAATGATGGACAACGAATTCACTATGACGACTGACCATTGTTATTATGTGATTGCATTTTGCTGTTATAACGTTTTAATTGAATATGTTATATGATGTTTTTAATTATTGTTTTGTGATTTTATTGTTGGAAACCGGCCCGAGTCCCCCGATAGAGGGGAGAAGACCGGTATACAAAATTGCTAAATAAATAAATAAACTAAGATACCAAAAATACTAAAATCAGGATGAGATAGAGATGGAGCAGATTGTTTGTGGGGAAGAAACTCGTAAGGAACGGGGTCATAAATATAGACCTTCATACAGGTGGGGAAATATACTCTGGGGACAAAAACCGCTGAGGGGGAGCAACTGTGTAATACCCAGTGGACAATTGAGACCAAATTTGGACACAATACACCTATCAGGGCAACAAGTGACCATCACTCATAAAAATACTGGAAAACACAGCAGAACAGACTTAAAAAGCAAACATTTTTTAAAAAAAAATACATTACAATGGATGTGCACTTATATACACATATACACAAATATATATACACACAAAGCACATATACACACACTGGGCCACAGCAGCACGTGGCAGGGGATGGCTAGTCTTTATAAATTAAAATGTAGTGTTCATTTGTGAGATTAACATAACTCAAAAACCACTGGGCAAATTGAGACCAAATTTGGACACAATACACCTATCAGGCCAACGAGTGACCATCACCCATAAAAACACTGGCAAACACAGCGGAAAAGACTTAAAAAGCAAAAAAACCAACAACATTGCAACTCATGCATGAAACCACATATATACACATATACACATACATACATACACAAAACACATATACACAGATTGGGCCACAGCAACGTGTGGCAGGGGATGGCTAGTTTGTTTATATATTTTATATTCTGTGCATATTCTGGATATTTCTCTTTAGTATTTTTCATAGGATCAGTCATATTATTGTTTTTCTCATTTTTGTTAATAACCTTAAGTACTACCACCTATTCCTGCTTCACACACAGACCTAAAATAGCACCCATAAAGCTGTCTTTTTCTGTTTCTTTTGATCCGTTCCACCCATCTTTACCTACAGAGTTTGAGACTGCTGAAACCCTTCTCAATTCAGAAGTGCACATGCTTCTTGAACATCGAAAGCAGCAGAATGAGAGTGCAGAAGATGAGCAGGAGCTCTCTGAAGTCTTCATGAAAACGCTGAACTACACCGCTCGCTTCAGCCGCTTCAAAAACCGGGAGACGATTGCTAGCGTTCGCAGGTATGTAATACTGAGAATAAAATCTTTTGTCATTAGCCAACGTGACAACTAATGTAGAAGATAATAATAATACTGACCAGTAGTACCTCTGTTTTGTCTAGATTTACCTTTAGCTTATTAGCCCTCGCCGAGTCAATTACTGAAGACAGGCACAAGTTTAGGGGCAGGACGGCATCCTAGGCTTTCGCTGGAAAGGAGTAATACAATTGGGTGTCATCAGCGTAAATTTGACATCAAACTCCAAAACTCCAGATGATCTCTCCCAGCAGCTTCCCTAATAGTTTCCTTAATCTGAACAAAGGAAGTAGAGTACGTTATTGTGCGCAGTTAAATTAATTTTGATTCCCCGAATAAAGTTATTTTGTAAGTTGACCTTCAGGGAAAGTGATTTAAAACAAAATACAGGCTGTTATGACATGTTGGATAATCTTAACACAATATTTACATCCTATATTAAAATGTGTGCTCTGTATATATATATATGGGGCTTAATTTAATAGGCCAAAATCCAAGGGCAACACTGTTAAAATCTAAAACATCACCATCATAGACACTTGGCTTCAAACTTGCACAAAAGAGAAAAAACGTTATAGCTTCCAGTTGCACAATTGACTGTTTAACAGCTTGTATGAGCAGTAGCATGTATGCTTAGAAACTACAAAAGCACATGTATTATCATTTCCACAGCTGGAAAAATCAGTGGAATGCCACTAACCCACTACTTTCCTCTAATTATAATGATTTAGTCCTTTGAAGTCTATAAAACTGTTATTTTTTTAAAAAAAAATGCTATGGAATTATTTGATTTCTTAGATTTTTTTAAAAAATGTTGATTATGTTATTCTAATTCATTTGAGTGTTTTGTTTTCCCATATCTGCCTTGTACGTTTTCTGTGACGTCTTTTATTCATTGTTTCTATTTTTTAACATTTTCTCCTATTACGTACAGTTTGCTGCTCCAAAAGAAGCTCCATAAATTTGAACTGGCATGTTTAGCTAATCTGTGTCCTGAAACAGCTGAAGAGGCCAAAGCATTAATCCCCAGGTGAGTTACCCAAAGTCTAAAGGGTCTTTTTAATACTCACAAGAGTTTGTTGTTGTTGTTGTTTATTTGTTCAGTCGCTTCCAACTCTTCAGGACCTCATGTGGCCGGCTGTGGCCACCCCAGTTCCTTCAAAGTCAAGCCAGTCACTTCAAGGATACCATCCATTCACCTTGTTCTTGGTCAGAAAAATCCATGTTGTTGTTCCAGAATCAGACTGGCACACCAGTTGGTTTTCAGTGGTCAAATATTTTAAAAATATAATGACACCTGAAGAACTGATCTTATGTCAATTTAATACAATTACCAACTATATTTTAAAAGAGTTGCTTTTACTATTTAAATAAAGGCTTCCACTTTATTTCTGTTTGTATTATTTTAAGAAATATAAATACTATAACCTTGGTCTTCCGATGTAATGTCAGGCAATAAAACTGTTCAGTGAACTATTTGCTTACACAAACCTTATTGAAAATTCATATGATCAAAATTCAGTCAGATTATTCAGATGGTTGGTACAATTAAGCAGAATGTTTTATCCTGTCAAATGCCCTATGTCGACTTCCATAGTGTATAAAGCAAAATACATGGTTTTCTGGTTTAATCATATCACAGTATTCAATTGAGTGAGCACCCCATATTTAAATTAAACCGTAGTTTGCAATGATGGTTTGGAAAGATTGCTCAAACTGGACTCTTCTTGACTCAATGATGTGATAAGATAAACAAGCTAGTAACCTATTTTTGCAGTCAGGTATTTATTTTTAATTGGTTTCAGTATTTAAATCTGTTGATGATTAATAAAGATAAAGCTTGTCTCTATTTAACATTATTTGACCAATCCATCATAATGATTGGTCTTATCTTCTGTGATGGTGGGTGGGAGAATGTTCTGTGCTAGTAAATGGAAGAATGTAGTATCAAGTACACTCTGACAGTAGGTTTGAAGGCTTTAGAACAGGTATGGGCAAACTTCGGACTTCAATTCCCACAATTCCTAATAGCCTACCGGCTGTTAGGAATGGTGGGAGTTGAAGTCCAAAACACCTGGAGGGTCCAAGTTTGCCCATACCCACTCCAGCATCAGTGTTTTGAAATAATAACTATTATATACTTTTCTCTTTCAGCTTAGAGGGTCGATTTGAGGATGAAGAGTTACAGCAAATTCTTGATGACATTCAGACCAAACGAAGTTTTCAGTATTAGGAGGAATGACCACATCCTTCTATAATGTGAACATGTTGGGGGTTACATTTATTCTGATAAAGTCCTGGCTGTTTTTTGACAGCAAAGGAAGCTTATGCTGGATTACAATTCCACCCACAGTTTTAAAAGGGATTCTTTGGCCGTTGAGGCTTGTTGAACATTGACAGAGCTGCAAAAACTCATGACTGATTGGTTAATTTAATATTCATTTCCAAATGTTGTTTTCATTGTGAACATTCATAGAATATTTTGGGGATCAGACACATTACATAAAGATACCAGTCTCTCTTTGAACATGTGTTGTCTTAGAGAAAGTTCTTAATATTACTTTTTAAAAAAATTGTAATACTAGAATCAGGATCAATAGTTTGTGTGGTGTATGTGATCAAGAGGTTGTGTTTTTGTCTTCATTAACAATCTTGTACAGTTGTTTTGTGTAATAAAAAATACAGTATTTTCAAGTTGGAGCCTGTGGTTTATGAATGTTCTTACACACTTCATTTTTACACAATTCTAGTTGACTTGAACATACTTTTAAAAGGCAGTGTCATGACCTTATTTCCTGGTTTTGTGTGAAGCCAGGAAATTAGGCCATGCTTTAGACCTGGCCTGTGTATATTTGAAACTAGGGAGAGGGTTTCCATGGAAATGGGAGCAATGAAAAGAGGAGCAAGGGTGAAGGGTAGGATGTGTGAGGGAAATAAACTCTCAGTTGGAATTTTGTTTCATACCCTAATGTATGCTTTTGAAATAAAGCCTTCTCACTGCTTGTGAGGTAATTTCTTCGCCAGAAAGCTACAGATCCGGACAGGCAGTAAGAAAAGAAATATTAAAAGAGTGAAGGAATTAGTCAAATTATTATATAGTATTTCTTACTTTCCACTGGTTTATGTATTATCTGTGTATATAATACAACTAACAATATTTTCACATGTATGAGGATAATGCTCTTGTATGCATATCCTATTTGTTAACTGGAAATTGATTCTTTATAATATCAAACATCATGCTGTCATAATAACTGCTTAGTTTGATAAGAAGTGCTTTACTTGAAGTGTGAAAGAAACATATTTAATTGGAGTGAACACATCATCTAATTAACAGACAGAAATATGGGCTGTTGAAAACCAGTCAGTTGTTTTAAATGAATTTCTCATCTGGCTTTTCAGAAGCACTTTAAGAATTTGAGGGTTTCTGTTTTCCTAAAATTTCTCAAGGGGCAAATAAGACTTATTGGTTAAATTAATGCTTCCCCAGACCACAGCCATGTGCAAAATAGAAGAGGCTGTGAAGAACTCTTGAACTGTAAAATAAAAACTCATCTGACCATCAAAGTTGGTCATGGAAGCAGCCAACACAAAGGATGAGCAGCCAAATAAATATGTATTTAATATTTAAATCTTGCCCTATATCACGAGAACTCAGGATGCTGTACAACAAAATCAAGTTTAAGGACTGTATAAGAATGAAAAGAAAAGAAAATTCTAACAGAGGCATATTAATTTTCAACTAGTTGTTATATGTCATCAAGCAGGTTTTGATTTATGACAGAACTCCAAGAGATGCTGTATTAACAGCCCTGCCCAGGGCAATGGCTTCCTTGAACGAGGCCATCTACCTGTACTGTGGTTTTCTGCTTTTCTCACTGCCCTTCACTTCACAGGGAATTAACTTTTCCAATTATTCGATGCCTGAAGTTTACTCATTTTGACTGCTACTGAGAGTTCAGACTAGATGTGTTCTCAGCCCATTGATTTTGTTGGGGGGGGGGGGGACACAATCCATCATATCCATAGAACTCTTCTTCAGCACCATATTTCAAATGAGTTTGACTCAGGCATAGTTTCTCTTGAATTTAAAAATAGTTAAAACGTCACAAAGCCATATATAAGTACATATTTAAATAAAATAATTTTGGTCTTCCCCCTCCCTCAGTATTTATAAAATGCGATACAGTAGACTCCCAGATAACTGCTAAATGACTTGAAAGGGTAGCTGATATTGATAGATATAGACAGAATATAGATAGATATAGATAGAAGGGGCTGGTCCATGAGGTCACGAAGAGTCAGAGACGACTGAACGAATCAACAACAACAACAACAATAGATAGATAGATAGAAGACAGATATAGAAGACTATTATCATTTTATTTATTTATTTATACCCCACTTTATGTCCCCAGAAGGGGACTCAAGGCGGCTTAACATAAAACCATTTAAAATATACACAAATACAAATATTAAAACAGGATTTTATAAACAGTATTCTAAAAATTCCCATTAAAACCAATTCAGAGTTAAAAACCATATAACTATGTTTATGTTTACTATTATTTTGTTGTTGTTAATTTGTTCAGTCGTTTCTGAATCTTTGTGACTTCATGGACCAGCCCATGCCAGAGCTCCCTGTCGGTCATCACCACCCCCAGCTCCTTCAAGGTCAAGCCAGTCACTTCAAGGATGCCATCCATCCATCTTGCCCTTGGCCGGCCCCTCTTCCTTTTTCCTTCCATTTTCCCCCAACATCATTGTCTTCTCTAAGCTTTCCTGTCTTCTCATGATGTGGCCACAGTACTTCATCTTGGCCTCTACTATCCTTCCCTCCAATGAGCAGTCAGGCTTTATTTCCTGAAGTATGGACTAGTTGGATCTTCTGACGGTCCAAAGCACTCTCAGAACTTTCCTCCAACACCACAGTTCAAAAGCATCTATTTTCCTTCGCTCAGCCTTCCCTAAATTCCAGCTCTCACATCCGTAGGTTACTACAGGGACTACCATGGCTTTCACTATGCAGATCTTCGTTGCCAGTGTGATGTCTCTAATCTTCACTATTTTAACGAGATTGGTCATTGCTCTCTTCCCAATAAGTAAACGTCTTCTGTTTTCCTGGCTGCAGTCTGCATCTGCAGTAATCTTTGTATCTAGAAATACAAAGTCTGTCACGGCCTCCACGTTTTCTCCCTCTTTGTTGTTGTTCATTCGTTCAGTCGTCTCCGACTCTTCGTGACCTCATGGACCAGCCCACACCAGAGCTCCCTGTCGGCCGTCACCACCCCCAGCTCCTTCAAGGTCAGTCCAGTCACTTCAAGGATGCCATCCATCCATCTTGCCCTTGGTCGGCCCCTCTTCCTTTTGCCTTCCACTTTCCCCAGCATAACTGTCTTCTCTAGGCTTTCCTGTCTCCTCATGATGTGGCCAAAGTACTTCAACTTTGTCTCTAGTATCCTTCCCTCCAGTGAGCAGCCGGGCTTTATTTCCTGGAGGATGGACTGGTTGGATCTTTCTCCCTCTATTTCCCAGTTATTTTAGTTGTCTTTAATTATGTCTACTTTAACTGTTCTGTTTAATAGATTACAATGGATTATTATTACGAGGCAAAAGGGCGGCCAGCTCAAAGCCCTCCCATGCGTCCAGAGGCCTTAAACACGCCACTTCCGCCAGAATCGCTCTTTCTCCATCTTAAGCGCTTCCCTTTCCGCAATGGCAACCGGAAGCTCTCGCTGAGCCGCTTGCTCCCAGGCAGGCGCCGGGAGATGCGGCTGATCCGAATGCGCATGCGCCGCTTGACCCTTCCCGCTCTTTCCCCTCCCATCCACCGGCTGCTCGGCGTGCGTGATGACGTCCACCGTACGCCCCGCCTCCAGTTCCTGGTGGGGAAGATGGCGGATGGTGGTGGCGGCGACGGCGGCTCGTGAGGCACCAGCTTCCGGGATAGAAACGCTCTGGACGTTGGCTCTCAGGGAGCGGCTCTGGTGTAAGTGTCTTGTTTTCGAGGCGGCGGGGCGACCTGAGGGGGAGAAGGAGGAGGAGCTCCGCGCGGGCCGGGTCTTCCGCCATTTTTAGGCCTGGAGGGCTGGCGCGGCGAGGCCGGCGAGGCCTCAGGGAGAAGGAGGCCTCAGGTTTGAAGGGGGAAGCGCAATCTGAAGACTGTCACGAAGCAGGCGATGCTTGGACGGCGACAGGGAGATGTAAACACTTCCTTGTTCCCTGGCTTCGAGCAGGGCCTTATGGAAATCCATGGCCTGGTGTTGAGGGGTGTGGAATGGGTCAAAGGCAGGTGTATCTACATCTACACCAAGCATGGGCAAACTTCGGCCCTCCAGGTGTTTTGGACTTCAACTCCCACAATTCCTAACAGCCTCAGGCCCTTTCCTTTCCCCCCTCAGCCGCTTAAGCGGCTGAGGGGGGAAAGGAAGGGCCTGAGGCTGTTAGGAATGGTGGGAGTTGAAGTCCAAAACACCAGGAGGGCCGAAGTTTGCACATTCTTGATCTTCACTGTAGAATCAATCCAGTTTGACACCACTTTGACTTCGCTGGCCCAATGCTAGGTGAACCTGGGAGTTGTAGTTTTACAAAATCTATATCATTCTATGACAGGATCCTGTTGCCTCACCAAATGACGGCTCTCATGATTCCCATAGCATTCAGTGGTATCAAACTGCATTTATTCTCCAGTGTATATGGACCCTAGGAGTCTAGTTTAGCCGGCCTACCAAGCTGAGTCCCTCATTTGTAGAAAGGTTTTCTGTCAAAGGCCTGAAACACTTGAGAGTCTTTAAAAAAAAAGAAGTGCCCATTTTATGAGAATTGGAGTTCTGGGTCCAATGACTCCAGATTTGCTTCATCCCGTATTATTTTTTCACAATTTACTTTGACATTCCTGTATTGTGAGATGACACCGAATTAAATTAGCGTTGAACTCATTAAGGAAATTCGTGAACGGTCGGTGTGTGCAATGGCATTATTTTTTCAAAAACACAGCACCCAAAACCATATTAAAAACAGCCACAGTGTTGATAAAAGTGTATTTTCATCTCGGGTCTGTAAACCAGGCATAATCACATTAACCTTTAAAACATGACCATTTTAAGCAGTTCGAAAACATGCAAATGTGAGTAGATCAATAGGTACCGCTCTGGCGGGAAGGTAACAGCGCTCCATGCACTCATGCCGGCCACATGACCTTGGAGGTTTCTACGGACAACGCTGGCTCTTCGGCTTAGAAATGGAGATGAGCACCACACCCCAGAGTCAGACATGACTGGACTTAATGTCAGGGGACTACCTTTACCTTACCTATATTGCCTTGTATAAGAGTATATCTGTTTTCTAATAGCAGAAAAATCTGGCAAAAAGAAAAAAGATTACAGTATATTCTGGCGTATAAGACTACTTTTTAACCCAAGAAAATCTTCTCAAAAATCAGGGGTCGTCTTATACGCGGGTGTAGTCTTATGCATGGGAGTCATCTTAACTCTATATTTTAACTGGAAAAGTTGGGGGTCGTCTTATACACCCAGTCGTCTTATATGCCGGAATATACGGTAACTGCAAGATAATCTGGCTGTTGGGAAATGTACCTGCTACGAGTATATGTAATGATGCAGTTTGACTTACTTCTGAGTAATTTTGTGCAGGAACATGCTGTTAGTGACCTATTTTATTTATATAGGTTGTTTGCTTAATAATCGTAAACAAGCAAATCATGGAAATATTTTCCATTGCAGAGGAACTGCTTGGAAAAATGCTAGTATTTCTATGTCCAATTGTTTCAAAAAGATGGCATGGAAAGTGTGGCTGAGATCACTGGTTGTGCTTGTAGTTGTAATAATGTTGCTGTATACAAATACAATCACACTGATGTTTTCTCAAGATGATTCCACACTTAAAGTTGTCAAAGGAAATAAAATAAAAAATGTTCAGTGTGTATGTAGTTACACATTCCTCCCTATGCATGTGTCTAGTAAAAGCTAGTATATACAGTAGAGTCTGTATTATCCAACGCAGTCTGCCTCCGGCCTGGATCCAAAGCTTTTTTTAATGTATTGTGATGTTTTGGTACTAAATTTGTAAATTCAGTTATTCTTCGTGTCGTCCGTGAAATGCGCACCTATTTATTATTATTTATTATTTGCACTTGTTAACCGCCACTCTCAGCCCGAAGGCGACTCGTGGCGGTGTACAGAACATAGAACATAAAGACAACAATTACAATAGATCAGGGTCATAACACACATCTTACTAAACACAACAGCTAACTAAACTAAAAATCCGCTTCGTCTTATTTGGGTCATAGTCAATCTCATGGTCATAATCCATTCCGGTGGTCATTCCAAAAAACATAGCACTTAGTTAAAGGCCTTTTCAAAGAGCCAGGTTTTCAGGCCCCTACGGAAGGCCATGAGGGAAGGCGCCTGTCTGATTTCAGCAGGGAGGGAGTTCCACAGCCGGGGGGCCACCACCGAGAAGGCCCGCTCTCTAGTCCCCGCCAGGCGTGCCTGTGAGGCAGGCGGGACCGAGAGAAGGGCCTCCCCGGATGATCTCAAGGTCCTCGTGGGCTTGTAGGCCGAGATGCGGTACTCAAGGTATTTTGGGCCGGAACCGTTTAGGGCTTTGTAGGTTAGCACCAGCACCTTAAATTGGGCCCGGTAGCTGATCGGCAGCCAGTGGAGCTGGGACAGCAAGGGCGTTGTATGCTCCCTGCGTCCCGCTCCGGTTAACAACATGGCTGCCGCGCGCTGGACTAGCTGAAGCTTCCGGGCCGTTTTCAAGGGCAGCCCCACGTAAAGAGCGTTGCAGTAGTCGAGGCGGGATGTGACCAAAGCGTGTACCACCGTGGCCAAGTCAGACTTCCCAAGGTACGGGCGCAGCTGGCGCACGAGCCTAAGCTGTGCAAATGCTCCCCTGGTCACCGCTGAAACCTGGGGATCCAGGCTCAGCGATGAGTCCAGGGTCACACCCAAGCTGCGAACCTGCGCCTTCAAGGGGAGTGCGACCCCGTCCAGCACAGGCTGTAACCCTATACCCTGCTCGGCCTTGCGACTGACCAGGAGTACCTCTGTCTTGTCTGGATTTAATTTCAGTTTGTTCGCCCTCATCCAGACCGTCACAGCGGCCAGGCACCGGTTCAGGACTTCGACAGCCTCCTTAGTAGCAGGTGGAAAGGAGTGACAGAGTTGGACGTCATCTGCGTACAGGTGACACCGCACCCCGAAACTCCGGATGATCTCACCCAGCGGCTTCATGTAGATGTTAAACAGCATGGGGGACAGTATGGAGCCCTGAGGAACACCACAGATCAAAGGCCGTGGTGTTGAACAGGAGTCCCCCAATAACACCTTCTGGGTACGACCCTCCAGAAATGACCGGAGCCACCGCAAAGCAGTGCCCCCAAGGCCCATCTCTGCAAGGCGTCCCAGAAGAATACCGTGGTCGACGGTATCGAAGGCCGCTGAGAGGTCCAGGAGCACCAACAGGGACACACGCCCCCTGTCTAGCTCCCGGCGCAGATCATCCACTAAGGCGACCAAGACCGTCTCGGTACCATGTCCCGGTCTGAAACCAGACTGTGCCGGATCCAGAATATCCGTGTCTCTCAAGAATACCTGGAGTTGTGAGGCCACCACGCTTTCCATGACTTTGCCCAAGAAGGGAAGATTGGAAACAGGCCGAAAGTTGTCAAATTTAGTGGGGTCCAGTGATGGTTTCTTCAACAGCGGCTTTATAATAGCCTGTTTTAGGCTCGCTGGAATCGTGCCTTCCCGAAGGGAGGCATTAACCACCACCGTTACCCACTCAGCCAATCCCCCTCTGGCCTCTTTCAGAAGCCAGGATGGGCAGGGGTCTAGGATGGACGTGGTAGGCCTCATTCCTCCAAGTATCTTGTCCACATCCTCGGGTTTCACAAACTGAAAAGAATCCATCAAAATAGGACAAGCAGGTGCTTGTGTCACATCCACAGAGACTGCATTTAATGTGGCGTCCAGCCCAGAACGGATCAAAGCGACTTTGTCTGCAAAGAACCGAGCAAATGCTTCACAGCGCGTGGCCGAGTTGTCAGGGCTCCCACCTGAAGTAGGGGGAGTTAAAAGACCTCTGACAATCCGAAACAGCTCCGCCGGACGGTTTTTTGCAGACGCAATAGTAGCCGCAAAGAAAGTTTTCTTTGCGGCTTTTATTGCCGCGGCATATGCCCTTAGAAAGGACACAAACCGTGCTCGATTTGGCTCGCTTGGGTCCGAGCGCCACACGCTCTCTAGTTCCCTCTTCCTTCGCTTCATCGCTGCCAGCTCCTCAGTAAACCAAGGAGCTGGTTTAGCTCGGTTACTTGAGAGGGGACGTTCCGGAGCGATCCTGTCAATTGCCCTGGTCATCTCCCCATTCCAGAGAGCGACCAAGGCTTCGACATGGTCACCTACCGAGGTGGCGGGAAAATCCCCAAGAGCCATCAGGAATCCGATTCGGATCCATAAGCCTCCTGGGGCGGACCATCTTAATGGGTCCTCCACCTTTGCGGAGGTTGGGGGGCGCAGTGAGCCTAAATCTGATCAGGAAGTGGTCGGTCCATGGCAACGGAGAGATAGACAACTCCTCCACACCGCCACCCTGCTCCCATCCCTGGCAGAAAACCAAGTCCAATGTGTGTCCAGCACAGTGGGTGGGGCCAGTTATTTGTTGGGACAGCCCCATGGTTACCATGGCAGACATGAAGTCCTGAGCCGCTCCTGTGAGGGTCGCCTCGGCATGGATGTTGAAGTCCCCCAGCACAAGAAGCCGTTGGGACTCCACTACTATGGGTTCTTCCTTGCGCATGCGCAGAAACTCGGAACATTTCTAAGTTAAATGAATTAAAAATGATTATTTTGAGCCATATAGGCTCCGCCTATCTCCCCGCCCCCCGGATATAAGCGCCGAGCGGCGCCGCCATTATCTAGTTCCCTTTTCCGCGCTAAACTAGCAGCATCTCGGAACAGC